TAATAGAAAACCTATTCCACACATAATTTATAAGTTTCGCACGAGATCGGATGAGTTTCTAAAGGAAAAAACACAAATTTGAGCTCAGATTGCCAAAGCGGGCTCAAGCCGGTTCCTGTTGAACACCGCGGGAAGTCTGCCAAAACTGGCCTAAGCCGGATTAGTACGCACAAAGCAGCCTGAGCAGGTTTTTTCCTATAAAATGCCAAATTCAAATTTGGTCCTTTTTGTCTTTTCTTATTCACGTGTTTTCTAATCCATATTAAACTCTTCGGTCAGAATTCGATCGTCAATATATCCCTATTTTTAAGTGAAGCATATGTGGGTTTAAGTACACATGAAAGCCATAGTGACCATATATTGAGTTCGTTGGCTATTTTTGCCTAAGGGCGATGTATACATCATCCATACTGTTCTAAAAGCGATATGTGTATATCTATCATTGTTTGGGCATCTAGGCTTCTTGCTAAATAATTGTTCTTGAGAGATGATCACCTCAAAACGTCTTTAACATATAAGAATTTTCAAATACTGCTTTGATCCCTTTATATGAACATTCCTAACTTGGAGATCTCTTGTTAATTTTTCGCTTTTTACTCCAAGTGGTAGATTAGGTTTTCATAACAGTTCCCCAATTTGGAACGATTTGCTTTTCATCTTCTTGATGTAAGTTCAAGCAGCATGAGTTTTTTTTCCATCTCCTGATATTATTCTCAATTTTATTTTTAATAAGCTTCAACAAATTCTTATCACTTAACACGGCTTGGCTGTTAATTGGTTATTTACCATAGCATTCATCTGACTTTGTAATCTATGTAGCAACCAACACAAACCGAGCCCCCTTTGACAACAGGGAACAAATTTGGCCATTGAAATCTAAGTCACAAACTCCGCCACGACTTGATAATTGGATGTATCATCGCAGTGGATACCAACTGAATATTATCACACCAACGGTACACACCTTCCACCAAACCAGTTGAGCTACGCTTACTTCCTTTAAAAAGAAGAAAACAACTGGTAATCATAGTAGACCAACAAAAAACAGCCCAAAATAGCAACCACTTGATTTTTGGAGCTAACATGTGCCTTCATAAATCTCTTCCATTGCCACTTTTGCTTCACACTGGCATGGCCAACGAGGTATTCGCATGTAGCTATCTTATGGTCGCATTCTTTACCTTGTCCTTGCACCTTGCGGCTACTTTTCAAACTATAGCACGTTTGTTTTGTCAGCACCTACATATTTTTACACTCAGGATTGGCGACAATCAAATGCTGATTAGACTCCGCCAAGAAAATTGGCAGACGAAGCCTCCCGCGGTCCCGCCCAAAAAATAGAATCATGAACATCCCCAAAGAAATGTCAGTAATTCATTAATTCAACCAGGCGGAAAATTAAAGTCAAATTAGATAGCTATACGGCGCAGACACCAAAACCTATTGGTTTTTCCAGTTTGGCATCTTTACAGTTCGTCAGCATTTAATTTTCGGCACTCAGCAATTTAAAAGGTCTGAAGCAATAATATCTGAAACTTAGCTCGTCAGTTGAAAAAATCCTTCAACAATGGTTTGCCTACCAATGATAAATAGAAGTGTAAAACAACAATATTTACAGGACATAATCGAAGAATCTATTACCTTAATATTTTATACCAAATAAAAAGAGGTTCAGCAATAACTTTTAAGTCCTATTTAAATAAATTATCATATTAACCAAAGAAAACAAAAACAAGGTGCCAATAAAGATTTCGAAAAAAACGTACAATTTAGTACAAGCAAATTTTATTAGTCAAAGGTATTAAAGAATAGCTAATGCTTCTGTCTACTAATTTTTGTCAAAGACTAGTTTTGACTTAGTTTTCCAATCAAGACTAATTTTAGCGAACATGTGATGTATAGTAGAGAGATATTTATGTCCTTTCAATCTATCACTTATGTGGAGGATTTTACTAATAACGCGAGATAACTAATATATTAAAAAAGTTTTTAGTTTCCATTATTTCCTAGTGACAGATGCGTGTAATAATTTAATAGCAAATTTAGGGTAACCTTGCTTTAGCTATTGTATGGGTAAAGGTTGATACAAATTAGGGTGTTATTTGCATTATATTTCGTAATGTAGGCGGTGGTAATTTTGAAGCTAATTTAGGCGGTTATTTTAAATGTCTTTCATAGTGGCAGAGTTGGATAAAACAGATTAAATTTAGGGGTAGTTCTTATACAATTTAGGGGTACAATTAGTATATGAATTTTTCATTTACTACGACAGAAACTATTTTCACCAATGATATTTTCACTGTCGATTTTCTACAAATCATTGGGGATAATATTTCACCATCATTTCAATACCACCGGTTCGTGCTATGAATCGGCTTGTGAAACTTTTCATTACCCGTTCATGTTTAATAGTATTCAGTCGTTCGCACCACACTCTCTATGTTTTATCCTCTTCTCTTAGGCTCCCTCTCACTCACCTAGTCTCCCTTTTGGATCCCTCTCTCCCTCACCCACGACACACGGCAGCAAGCGGCGCTGTAACACTACAACCTATTAGAAGCCTGTAGTAGTTGTGTACGCCCTTAAGGGGGTTGAATGTAACATCTCAGCCTGGTAGAAGGGTGCAACAGTAGTTTCTGTTGTTTGCCCATGTGTCCCATGTGGCACATGACGAGTTATAGTTTGTGGGTTTAGTACCACCTTGAAAATTTTACTATGGTGAGGCACTAGTACAGAAAAGATTTTTAGAGACGGTCAAAAGTGATCTTCAGAGGGTTTAAAAACCGCTACTATGCCATCGATTGTAAAAATAAGGGATTTTCAGATGCGGTTCACTTAAGTCAACCTTCCTTAAAAATAATTTTTAAATTTTTTTTAAAATCATTTAGAGTCTAATAAAAATATGAAAAAAATAATTTTAATGTAGTTCGAAGAGCGGCCATAGCTCACAAGATTTATTTTTCATTTTTCACTTGTTTTGAATAAGTGCCGACACATTTATTATTTTCACTTGTTTTGAATAAGTGTCGACACTCGAATTCGAACCCACACCCTATCGCTTTTGCAATCCCTCCCCTACCACCGCACCACACAGTCACTTGTGTCTATTTCTATGATGTTGTCTATTAGTACTAATATGTACGAATCTTGTAATCAATATTTTAACTCATAAACAATCTTAAAAAGAGAAAACTTTCAACTACAAAGTTTTAGATCTTATCGAGAACTACAACTTTGATACAAAATATTTCTCCATCCGAGGTCATTTGAAAAATTTAAAAATTTGAAAATTCAAAATCTGAGATTTAATTTATATATTTGGAACCCTAAATGATCTCAAACAAAAATTTTATCAACCACAAAATTTTAGGTAAATTTTATCTTCATCCGACTTCATGTAAAAAAGTTATAAATTTATTTGTGCTGCAGCTATTTTTAAGGATAGTTGACTTACTAAACTACCTCTGAAAATCGATTTTTAGTTGCGGTTGTTATAAGAGAACCGTCTCTGAAAATCACTTATTTTCAGAGGCGGTTGACACAAGTAACCGTCCTTAAAAATAATATTTTGAGAGGCGGTTCTCTTAATAGAACCGTTCCTAAAAATGAGATGGATTTTTTAATGGAACCGCCCCTGGAAATGGATCTTCAGTAGCGGTCATGGAGCTATAGTGCTCCCGGACGATGTTAGAGATGACATGCTAGTTTAACCACCTCTGATAGAAAAAGGGAGATATCCCTAAAAATCTTTTCTGTACCAGTGAGGGCTAACTTATTATAATCCTTATTGTTTCAAACCTAATACCTTCGAGTTAACCCTTTTACACAGAGCGAGGACGAAAGTGTAAGAGAGGTGATATGTGTATACACGTCTGTTCCACGTGCGGAGCTGAACCATATAAGTACATTTTTGGACACATTAGAAGCTTGCAGTAGTTATGTTGTTGGCCCATGTGTCTCATGTGGCACATGAGGAGTAGTAGTTTCTGGGTTTAGTATCACCTTGGAAGTTTAGGAGGGTGAGAAAATCTTATAATCCTTGTCGTTACCATCGTAGCACATTTGAATTAAATCTTTTATAGGAAACGAGGAGAAAAATGTAAGGTTCTTTTACACGAGAAACGAAGATAAAAGTGTAAGGTGCTATAGTGACCCTTACTCAGGAAGGCGGGCTGGATTTCCATACCACGGTAGTAGATCCCACGCTTTTTTCTGGACCGGCGGCAGTGGTCGCGATGCTCTGCCCCTCCTCCCCACTCCATGACGGCAGCATGGTCATTGTAGTTTTTTTTTAAATAAAAAATATTCACTTTTCACCGCCACAGCGCTCTATTTTTACTGCCAACCTTCACCGCCAAGAAAAAATCAGCGATAATGGGATATACTCCCTCTATCCATAAAATAATGTAATTCTAGAACAATTTCATATTTCAGTATATCAACTTTGACCAATTATAAAATAAAAAATATAAATATTTATAATATCAAGTAAATACCATTAGATTAATTACGAAATGTATTTTTATATAAATTGATGTGGAGCCATAAATATGAATATTGTTTTATAGAAACTTGGTGAAATATGAAGCACTTTAACTACACACAACCTATAGTTGCATCTTTTTAGGGATAGAGATACTAGCAGTGATTATGGCAGAGTCGGGTAAAATAGCTTCAATTGTTATTATTGATAATGTTGATTAGGGTTTATCAACTCAAAGGCCAGATGATTTTTATAAGATTTATTTTTAAAAAATTACGCAAAAAATACTCTGGGTAATAGATTTAGTCGACATCATGCTCATAAAAAATCTGACTAGCTAGCTACTTGTGTGGACCGTCCCGAAGCATGGGACCCACTTGACAACCTTGAGTTCTGAATTTGAGTACTACTATTGATGAGGCATGATGGTCGACTTATCTCACACACAACTGAGTGAGTATGCCATTGTTATGACAGTCAAATCATCGAATTAGACGAACACTCCCAAATAACTTCCATGGCTGTAAAAAACTTGTGCTCATGCTCAAGCAGCAGAGCTCGTCAGCAGCAGCTTCTATTCTTCTGCTTGGCCCTCTCACTGCATGTCCCTTATCATGCCAATTCTCTCTCCTTCAGCTTCTACAGCTCCTTCAACCCCGATGACTTCAGGCCGGAGGACGACGCACGGGTACTCGATGGCAGGATCGAGCTGCTCGGCGACGAGTTCGCAGGGCGTTCCAGGGGGCGGGCGTGGCACAAGCAGCCGGTGCAGCTCTGGGACGGCACCACCGGCGAGGCTGCAAGCTTCACCATCCAGTCAGTGCCTGGCAAGGGCGCTGCAAGCGCCGGGCACGGTATGACGTTCTTCCTCGCGCCGTACACGCCGGACCCGCCGCAGGAGTCCTACGACGGCTGCCTCGGCCTTTTCGATGAGAGCGAGGTGCCTAACTACTCCAGGTTCAACGCGTCCGGCGACTCGAGGTTCGTCGCCGTGGAGTTCAACATCCACAAGGACATCTGGGACCCGAGCAGCCAGCACATCGGCATCGACATCAACAACATGGACTCCCGCGGCGACTACACGGTGTTGCCATACGGCAGCCTCGTCGACGCCGGCGTGGTGTTCGCAACAGTCGTCTACGACAACCGCACGCGCGGTCTTGAAGTCAGCCTGATGGTAGGAAGCGCCACTTACACGTCCGTAGCCACCGTGGACTTGAGAAGCTTGCTGCCGGAGAAAGTCGCAGTGGGCTTCTCGGCGGCGACAGGCGACGAGTACTCGGCAAACCACACGGTGCTCTCGTTCTCGTTCCTCTCGACGTTGGCAACCAAGAACAGCACCGCCATCCCTGTGACCTCGTCCACCAAGAAAACCACCCTACAATTCAGCGCCGGAGCGGCCGCCGCTGGGTTGCTGTTTCTCCTGCTCGTCGTCACCGTGGCGGTGTTACTAGTTCAGCGATCAAGGAGAAGTGGCAAGCAACCATACGACGAAGATAGGCTAACCAAGGACGGCGACGACTCCCTCGACGTCAGCGACTTCGAGTCCAGCACGGGACCCCGACCCATCCCGTACGCCCAACTCGCGGCGGCGACGAAGGACTTCGCGGCGGAGGGGAAACTGGGGCAGGGCGGGTCGGGGTCGGTGTACCGCGGCCACCTGAAGGACTCCGGCCTCGATGTCGCCATCAAGGTGTTCTCTCGGGGGGCGTCCATGGAGGGAAGGAAGGAGTACCGGTCCGAGGTCACCGTCATCAGCCGGCTGCGGCATCGAAACCTGGTGCAGCTCATCGGCTGGTGCCATGGCCGGAGGCGGCTCCTGCTGGTCTACGAACTGGTCAGCAATGGCAGCCTCGATGGCCACCTCTACAGCACAGAGGTGACACTGACATGGCCGACGAGGTATGCGCATGTAGCTATCTTATGGTCGGATTCTTACCTTGTCCTTGCTGCTCTACTACTTTTCTCACTCCCGATTGGGGACAACAAATCTGAAACTTGGCCGATGCAGTCTGCTGTATGGGGGCACGTAGCGATCCGCTAGTAGTAGCACGCTTATTTTGTCAGGACCTATATTTTTTCACTGATTAGAATCGGCCAAGAAAATTGGCAGATGAAGCCTGCCGCGGTCCTGCCCAAAAAAGCAGAAAAATGCACATATGCATGCCAACGTGGAAAAGCCAGCAATTCAACCAAAAGTGGAAATTTCAAATCAAATTAGATTGCGACATTCGCAGACACGAAAAACCCTTGAGTTTTACCGGTTTGGCATCTTTTGCAGTTTGATACGGTCTCTCTCCATTTATTTTTGGGCACTCAGCGGTTTAAAAACTCTGAGGCAATAATATTTGAAACTTAGCTCACGCTGCAACACGTGAATGATTTTTAGAGAGGCGTTCTTGTTTGTGTTAAAGGCGGCATCTATCTTTAAAAATGGTTCCTTAGACAGTAAGCCTCTAGAAATTGATTTTTTTAGAGACGACTAGGCTTTCCAACACATGTAGAAATGCCCTATATTTTTAGAGGTGACTGAAAACCCTAACCGCCTTTAAAAATGCTATGAAACTCTTTTAAGTTATTATATTTTTGATTTTTTTTCAATTTTTCAAGAACGTTGGATGGAAAACGACTTAAACTAATGTTATAGTAGTTAAAGAGACATGGAACACTGTAGTTGATAACTTTTTCATTTGAAATCATTTATAGCCCCGAAATTATATTTTAAGATTAATTTTTTCAAATAACTTATGATGGAGAAACAACCTAAACCAAAGTTGCAGTATTTGAAGAGATGTAGAACTTTTCATTTCAAACCTTTTTCATTTTATTCATTTAGAGTCTCAAATATGCATCACAATATTCACTAAAATGGATAAAAAGGAAGTATCAGCTGCTTCGACTTAGAGCTCTTTGAAACGTAGGGAATTTCATAGGTATTGTATAGGAATCAATTTATTTTTCACTGGAAAACATAGGTATTGGAAAAAAAATCCTACATTCTAAAGGGGCCTTAGTCATAAGTGACTTTGAGGCATGGCTTTAAAGATGCAAGGCACAAGGGCTGAGGTGCCTCTCTTAGGTTAAAACAATTTTTAGGCTAAGTTTTGGCCCACCTCTAGATATAGATAGAAAGCCTTCTCAGTCGCCTCTAGAAAACCTTCCTGTATAGAAGTGGAAAACGACAATAATTACGAAACATCCTAAAAATCTTTGTTTTTTGGGAACAAACATCCCAAAAATCTATTATCTTAATATTCTACCAAATAAAAGAGCTTCGGCAATAACTCTCAAGTCCTAAAAATTATCACATTAATCATACAAAACAAAAAGCAAGGTTCTGGTACAAATGTCAAAATTTTACTTTTAAGGGCCGTTTGGATCATTTCATTTGAAGGAATTGAATCTACTTAATAAATTAGGCTATTTGGCTTAGAATTTGATATTCCACTACTTTTCAAAGTTCACCAATAACCCTATCTCAAATTCATAGAGTGGAAGATGGAAATTGATTCTATAGATCACCATTCTATGTTTCTACTTTCAACTTATAATACGCTCTTTAACTCACTCCCCTATGGTAGAAATGCAACTCTCTCATATAGCCAACAATAATATACAAATATAATCAATATACAACCATATTAGCTTAATTAATATGTGTCTATAATATGATTACTAAAATGAATTTAATTCAAAGGATCAAACAGGTCCTTACTCTATTGCCATTATTAAAAAAATCCAATATGTATACGCATATGCTTTATCTCGAATTAAATAAAGAAAATAAAGCCAAACCCCATATATTGCACCATGTATGCATTTTCAAAGATAATAGAAACATGTTTCAAGGTCACAGTAAATAAATGGTCAATTTAATCCTATCACATAAGGAAAGTGTCGCTGAATAAGAGAACAAATTATATTGGACAATAAAATGGGTTACCGGTTTGACTGCTGGATGTTGTTATCTGCAGTACATGCAAATAAATGGGCACCTAAAATATAGAAGAAGTGAAAAAAATCAGGATACCAGTGCTAGAAATTGGTGTCGGCTTAAAAAATAATTGACCTTGAGGTTAGCTTAAAAAAACAATAATTCATCTTTAGTCTCTTTCTCTTCTTCACTCAGACAAGTACTAATTGTGTAACTTGAAGATAGAGAAGGACATTGTTCATAAAACCAACTGTTCACATTATATTTATTTTATCTAACCACATAATAGAATTATACAATCAGAAGATATAATCTGAGAAAAAATATTTTATTTGTACTTAGACATTTGTTATTTTAATTGAAGAGACTTTTTTTTACCTATAATCTCTATAATTAGTTATACTAATGAATAGTAGTAATACGTGCTATGCATCCTTAGAGGGGCTAGGCCCTGCCTGCACCCCCCTTCTCTACGCCCCCGTCGAGCAACGGAGCAGCCAAAGGAGGCGCTCACTAGGTGCACACGGACGTGAGAGATGCACTCATGCACTCATGCACTCATTTAGAGCAGAGAAGAGCGGAGGCAGTGCTTACAGCATCCCCACTCGGTAGTTGATGACAGGCAGAAGGTATAGAAGGTAGCGGTGGAAATGCTGGATCCGGCACAGACTTGCCCTGAATACGTGCACAAAGGGATAAGGGGACCATGGCAGACTCAATTGCGCACTCGTTGAAACAGTGATGGCCTACAAGGAACAAATGTGAAGCTTACGTGGACCTTCAGCTGCATACTACAGCTTGTCGACACTGAACTCACGCCATTTTCCGTCGCCGGCACTCAACACCCTGTGCGTCAGACGCCATGCCCCATGGAGAAGTGAGGGAGGAGAGAGTAGCTGGCGGTGGTGCTTCTTGGCGGCGCCTACACTCGCGCTGCTTGCTGGCATCCGCACTCGCCACCCTTTAGAGACGTACGGAGGGAGTAACTAACTCAGGAGGTCTAAAAAGGCAAAAGAAGTAGAAGGTGGCAGTGGCGGCCTATTTCACAAAAGAACAAATATGTGAGGAATATATTTCAATGGATGTTTGCTTTATCTCGAATTAAACGAGCTTAACAGGTTTTAATGCGCGGCAGAGCAGAGTATGTAGTGTCCAATATTTTGTACGAGTAGTAGGAGTAATATGAACTTTGAACAGAGCACTCACTTGCTGGGTTTTCTACTATGATTATACCTTGTAGACTAATGAAGCTCTGTACTTTTTTTTGAAAGGAGGACAAACCTCTGCTTATAAGAACGCGATGTCGATACATGACTGGGGTTACCAGTTAAACAGATGAGTTAAAAACTAGGCTTACAACTTCTACAAACAAAGCCTTTCAACAACCATTGAAAACTGGGCCTATTACACTAAATTTCACAGATATCCGTCGACGCCACGTTGCTTGGTTTAAAAGATTTCAGCCACTGGACGTTCTCCTCCTTCATGTACAGCAAACGCTCCTAATCCTCGAGCAGAATGCTCCACCTCTGCAGCAATGATAAGACAATATACTACATCAGTTGGCGCTTTAGGAAAGTATTTTGTATGGCCATCTTGTTTCGAGCAGTCCAGAGTGCCCAAGTAAATCCTGCAAATAAAAATATTATCAATCTTTTAGGTATGAGCCCCTTGCCCTGTAGTCAGTTCTGAGAGAACTCCTGTCGGGACATTGGAATGTTAGATAAATGGAAGACTTCCTTTATGATACCCGACAGCATCAAGTTGTACCTAATTTTTACCTCAATTTTGAATTTTCAGATACCAGATAATTCTTGGATTGTCTTCCGCCGTGTTGTACCTCCACCAAGAGTGGGACCAGTAAGTCGCCCATGGCGACATCAAGCCGAGCAACATCATGCTGGACGAGTCCTTCAACGCCAAGCTCGGCGACTTCGGCCTTGCGCGGCTCATCGACCACGGCATGAGCCTGCAGACCATGCATGACTGCCGTCGCTGGCACGCCAGGGTACCTGGACCCGGAGTGCGTCATCACCGGCAAGGCCTCCCCGGAGTCCGACGTGTACAGCTTCGGCATCGTGTTGCTCGAGGTCGCCTGCGGGCGCCGGCCGATGGCGCCTCCTACTAGCGTGGGCGAGGGGAAGGAAGGACAGGTGTTCCGGCTGGTGGAGTGGGCTTGGGACATGCACGGCCGAGGCGCCGCTCTGGACGCCGCGGACGAGCGGCTTGGTGGAGCCATTGACCAGTGGGAGATGGGGCGGGTGGTCGCCGTCGGGCTCTGGTGCTCGCACCCGGACCCAAAGATGCGACCGGGGATCCGGCAGGCCGCCGAGGCACTGCGGTCGAGGAAGTTCAGGATACCGCTGCTGCCGCCCAAGATGCCGGTCGCTGTGTACCTTCAGCCGTTCGGTGCCTCCACCATGCAGTTCAGCGACACCACCACCTCTGTCGGGTCTTCTGTTACCATGCCGTACACTTCGACGACGAGCCGTGCGACGGCCGACGGCGACGGGGACGTCTAACTCCAGCTCGCCGCCGGCGGTCACTGAACACTTCATCCCAAGAGCATAGATCAAATATACGGAGTATGTCGGTATGTGTGTAGTGTAATTTTGTTAAAGCAAATTAAATAGACTACTTAACCGCTAGCCCTTCATTTCAAAATTTTAGAGTGTATTTTTTAAGAAGTTATGTGCACTTATTGCATGAGAGTTTACTGCTAGCTTTAAAAATTAAAATGTGATTAATGGTGTACAGTATCTTGGGTACAACTTGCTGCTTAGTCCCTTCGGTTCCTTATTGAGTTTCAGTATTTTCAATGAAATTAAGTCCTAGTTGATGCTAGTCGGATTATAATTACAAAAAAATTTCATGCAAAATTTGTCATTGATGGGAACCTCTTGGCGTTTAGTTGCATTGGAGGCATCAGCATATGCCCTCCTCAACCATAGTTTGAAATCCGGATATGCCAAAGATTTACAAATAAGCGTGTTTAGCTTTTCATCAATTTTGCCTGCAAAGGGCCCGGATTGGAGGGAAAAAGATCCTCTGCAGTCGACCCGGCTACGACGATTTCTTCATGTCCGAGTTCAAGGTCCGGCTGCAACGGCGGTGGAGTCCAGGACTCTAGGTACGAGTCGCCCAGGGCTATCCTTCACGGATTTTTTTTAAATTTTAATACTTTTTGAAAACTAATTTCAAATCTAACACTGTCTGTTTTTTTTTAAAACTAACACTTTTGACCGCGCCTATTGCCATGGCGCGGTCAAAAGCCTGTGCCGCGCTATGCATGGTGGCGCAGTATGAGGCTGACGTGGCGACGACCGGAAAGGCTCACGGTTGACGTGGCAGGACCTGCCGCGCCACCAGGGCCAGATAAATATCATGAGCGAGCCCGCCCGCCGCCGCGCAGCGCCCGCACGCGCCCCGCCACCAGCGCGCCCGGACGGCCGCCCGCCCGCGCTGGTCGCGCCTGCCCGCCCACGCCGCGGCCGCCCATTCCCGCCGTGCAGCGCCCGCGCCGGCCGTGCCACGAACGCCGGCGCGTCAAGGCCGCCCGCTCCTACCAAGGTACCTCCCTCTCGATTTCATGCTATTTTGATTATTATTGATTTAGGATAATTAGTGATTTAGGATAGTTAGTAATTTAGGATAGTTAGGGTTTTATGATTGTTATTGATTTATGATAGTTAGTGATCTAGGATAGTTAGTGATTTACTATAGTTAGTGATTTAGGATAGTTAGGTTAGTGAATTTGTTTGTAATTTAGGTAGATAGTTTTTAGGTTTGAGGTTGTGTGTTGTAGTATAGTTAGGATTTTGGGTTTAGGGATTGATTAGGTATTTATTATTTAGTTTATAGTTAGTTATTTAGTTAGGGATTTTGGGTATAGATACTAGTTTTTAAATGTTGGTACTTACTAGTACGTGATACGTCGATTTTGATAACTTTGATTAAGTTTCATCAAATGCTTATATTCATAGTGAAGTTGTTTAATATGTCTGTTAATGTTACTTTGAATATATACATGTGCTTTCATATTGTGTTCGTATTGCATAACAAGTAGTTTAAATTTTGCAATGCTACATAATGTTAATTTGAATTTTATTAATTTGAATACTCTAACCCTTTGTTTATCAATTTGTAACAGGATGACCCCTCCCACGCAGCACCCGTTGTACCCCATTCTTGAGGTGGAGTACGACGACCAGCACCGAGCACACATCTTGAGTGACAACGACGCAGAGGTGGACTTGCCTCCTTTGAGGCCCCGCACGCACACCAGGGCGCACCAGTGGGACGAGCGTTACGCGCCGTACATACGGCGTGCCGGCTTCCTCGAGCTTGTCCGTGTTGTCAACTACGGTCTTTCGCCCCTTGACCCAGTACTACTTACTGCAGCTGTAGACAGGTGCGAGTGCCTTATTTGTACGTAAATATTCTTGTAACAAATTTAAGGCAACTAACCGTCGTTCTATTCTTATAACAGGTGGAGGCCTGAGACCCACACGTTCCACTTGCCTTGTGACGAGATGACCTTAACCATGCAGGACGTGAAGACTATTTTTGGCCTTCGATTGGGGGGACTTCCAGTGACAAGGATAGTTGACAACGATCACTGGAATGAGCTGATGGCTCAGTTTACTGGCTTTCTTCTACCAGACGACGAGGCTTCCAAGAAAAATAAGTGAGAAATTCAAGCTTATTTATACTTGCGTTGCTTTCCTGCAGTCATCGGGTCTCATTTTGTGGGCTTACGGTTGGATCTGAAATGCGGGGCCACTAGAGATGGGCCAGCTGCACGCTTGCAAGATTAGTTTGGTTCTAGCGTTTTGTGGGCTCACGGTTGGATCTGAAATGCACGGCTCAATTGCTTGACTGCAGAGGATAGTTGATTTGCTTGACTGGAGAGAATATGGTTCCGATCGGAGCACCCCGGCATTGAGTCTCTGTTGAGTACTGCATTGAGTCTGCAGGAGAGGGAGAGAGTTTTGATTGGCTCTTAGTGCTCGACAATGAATCGAAGTCATAGCTCAAGGACAGACTGGCCGGTAAAAAACCAGGAAAGTGTGCAGCATAGAAGAAAGTAAATGGCTGTTTAGATTGATCAATAAAGAGGGGGTTTGGCAGAACCTTCTAAGAAGGAAATATTTATCTAATAATGCCTTAGGTGCAACATAGGCCCGGGGTTCTCATTTCTGAGCCGATCTTACGAAAGTAATAGACGATTTCCTAGGTTGTGGTGCTTTTAAGGTGAAAAGTGGGGAGTAGATGAGTTTTTGAGAGGATGTGTGGTTGGAAGATAAATCTTTTAAAGAGTTTTACCCTAATTTATATAGAACTGTAAGGCAGAAAGATGATACGGTGGCAAATGTCTTGGCGACAATATCACTTAATGTGTGTTTTAGGCAGGGTTTGGTTAATGAAAAACGAAATGCTTGGTTTGACTTAGTGTCAAAAGTTGTACAACTTCTCCTCTCTAACGGGAAAGATGTATTAAGATGGAACCTCATTAACAATGGCATATTCACAATCTGGTCGATGTATAAAACTTTGATCCAACAAGGCATTCTCTCAAAGAAAAGCCCTATATGAAAATTAAAAATACCGTTGAAAATTAAGTTTTTTCTATGGTATTTGAAAAAGAGGTAACACTTACAAAAGATAATCTAGCAAAGAGGAACTGCAAGGAAGTGTCAACTGTTGCTTCCACCTTGCACACTTTGTTCTTTGTAGTTCAATCGAAACTATTCAACATTTGTTCTTTGACTGTCACCTTGCACACTTTGTTTGGAATACTGTGCATATCACGTTTGGAATTCAACCACCTACTAGCTTTGCTAGTTTGTTTGGCTATTGGCTTCATGGATCATGTCCTAAACTCAAAAACCAAATTCTGCTAGGAGCAGCTGCATTTTGTTGTGCAATATAGTTGAATAGAAATGATATGGTATTTAACAAGACTAGCTGTAACACTTTTGTATAAGGTAATTTTCAGGGCAACGTTTTGGATCCGACAGTGGTCCATGCTGCATAGAGCAGAGGATAGACCTTAGTCCAAGATTTGCTGCGGAGACTAGGAGACCTTAATTATGGCGGTCTTTGCAAAATTTGGATGGAGCTTTAGGAATCGTGTTGCCCACTAGTTCTTCCCTTGTTTGTTGTGCTCACTAGCTGGACTGAAGTTTATTTTACTTGTGGCCTTATGGCTTTGATTTGTATTTTGACTATCGGTTGTTTACCATCAACGAATGTTAAAGGCTTGAACTTTGTTCCCTTATTAAAAAAAGGTAAAGTATATTTTTCAACCTCCAACTCGTATTGAAGTTCTATTTTCAACCTTCAACTATAAAACCGAGTAACATACACCCTCCAACTGTCAAAACCGGACAAATTTGATCCTTCAGTGGTTTCAAAAGCGGTTTTCTATTTTTTAATAATAAAATCCAATTCGATTTCTAGAAGTTCGTAATTAATTTATTTTAAATTATAAAAATATGAAACTAGTTCATATTTTCTTCTAAAAATGTTATATATATTGATGCTATATTTAAGGTTGTTTTAAATTTCGCACAGAATTAATGTATACAGTAGCATTGCTATCCCCTGCTGGCATTTATTTTAGATGAAACTAGTACTTTTTTCTAAAAATGTTCTCTACTTGTTTATGGTCTATATATAGGTATTTAGAATTGGTTTATTTATGTTCCTATTGCTTTATTGCTCGCTGTCATGCTTGTTGTTTGTTTAAAACAAGTAAGATCTAAACAATTTTAAGTATAGCATCAATATATATATAACATTTTTAGAAGAAAACATGAAAAGTTTCATATTTTTATAATTTAAAATAAATTAATTACGAACTTCTAGAGATCCAACCAGATTTTTATTAGTTTTAGAAAATAGAAAAACCACTTTTGAAACAGGCTGAGGACCAAATGTTGGGGGGAGGTACCCTGGCACCGCTCCTCCCCTAACCCTCGACCTGGCGCTGGCTCAACTAACCCGCCCTCGTCCTGGGCACCACCCCCGCGATGTGGGTGCCCTTGATCGGCTTTTCTTCATCTGTGTGTTTAGGGGGCACGATCGAAGGTCAACTGCGTCAGAGGAGCGTGGCGAGAAGGTCGCAAGACGGTGATGGCGAACAAACCCTCGCTGGGGGCGCACGAAGGTCGTTACCTACCGCGGGGAGGAACCATCCCGTCAGCAATTGGACCCGGGAGTGGTTGGCTGAGGAAAGGAGATTACCGCCGTACCCCTGGTTCTTGTATAGCATTTACCGCCTAGGGTCGAACCCTAATGTAATTCTACCGCATCTCCGGGTATGGCCTATAAATGCCCGAGCGCTCGTGTAAGAAACAAGGTTGAACTTTTCTAGACAAATTAATGGGCATTTAATCCACACTTTTCCATCTCCTTGTCTTCCTGTACCCTCGCTCATCCCTTCACCACAGTCTAGTAACTCACCTGTGGGAAACCCTCGTCCTCTCCCCCCGTGTCCCTCAACTAGGGCGAGAGGCTC